CCCGCCGCGGGCGAGCGAGCGCTGGGCGCGGGCGCCGTCGCGCTGCGCCGCCGCGCTGCGCTGCGCGGCCCCAAAGGTTGATGCACATCCGCGACCACCTCCGCCCTGGGCGCGACACACGAAGCCGACGCCCCGCACGCACGCGCGCCGCGCGGTCTGTATGACGCGCCACATGATATTGCCCCACCGCAACCTGGAGGCTGGTCATATTCTACCCTGGTCCCTGTCCGCTCCTCGCTGCCGCACCGGATCAGGTCTCTGCCCCTCTGACCGTCGGCTCTGTGGGCCGCAGTATTCGCGTGCCGCACAGCTGTGGCTGGCCACACACCCCAACGCACCTAGAGAGGCCCTGATGGGCCGCGTGGCTCCTTTATCCGTCCGCCCCTTATGAAAGATGACCCCGCAACGCGCTGCTTGCGCTCGCCTACTTGCACTGGCTTGGCGCCCGCAGCATTCCGCTGCTGCAGCCGCCCGGCAGCGCACGCCGCCGCCCCGGCGCCGCGGTGGGGCCGCCCGCTCGTTTCCCGCGAGCCCGCCAGCCTTCCTGCCCGTTCAGAGGCCGAGAGGCCGCCCTTTATCAATGGACTGTATCAAAGCGCGTGGGCCGTCACTTGGGATTTGAATGGTACATGTGCGCGCGTGTGCGTGCCTGTGGGTGGGTGGGTTTTGTCTATCATGTTCCGGCGGTCTGGGGGCGCTGGCGCGCACCCCTGACCATCCACCTCGGGGGCACTGCATGGAAGGGAAGCCTGTCAAGGCAAGGGTCTTCTGGGTCGAAATCGATGGCGGCACTGGTTCAGTCTGAGCTGCGAACGCGTCGGCGCACACATTACCGACACACATGCACACGCACCTGATGCGGGGCGGGCGGCAGCCCCGGGCGGCCAAGCACCGGGCGCCGCGCCGGGGCCGCTGGCGCCTGCCCGGTTGCAGTGCCGCTTGCGCCCACTGACGGGCCCGCAAATCGAACCGCTAGCCCCCGTGACGCGAGCGCGCCGTCGACTGCCCGTCACTGGTCTGGATTCTCCCCTTGCCCAGCCCTCCCTGCGCCAGCTTTCGACCAGGCCGCGCCGCACTGCGCCGCGGAGCGGCCTGGCACGGCGCGGCGCGGCGGCCGCGAGGGCCCGCCACCTCGCCGGTTGTCGGTCTTGCATACGGGGCGGCGGCACGCGGCGCCGCCTGGGTGCCCCCTTTTGTGCTCCGGCTGACCAGTGCCGCGCGCCTTGCCCACGCAGATTCTACAGCCTTTTTGCTGCCTGGACCTGCGGGGGTCCTCTCTGTTGTTGTGCTGCCTCGAGCCTGGAGCGATCCTTTTGATCGGGGCACCCGCGGCCGCTTGGGACGACACGAGTCCGCAGCCGCTTGGCGCTCCGGCACCCCTGCCAGCGGCTCAGCCCCGCCCCGCCCGCTGGTCTCTTTGCATTGTGCCCCCCCGCTGGGCCCCAGGGCCCCTGCGCCGCGGCCCGCCGCGCGGCCGCGCGCGTTCTGCGCCCTTGTGTTGCGGTGCACAAACCCGCTCCTGGCGTGACTTGTCATGTTAGGGTGACGATTGCGACAATTGGCGCACGGGCTTGGCGCCATGGGTGGCGTGGTGGCCCCGCGTCGCGCCTGCCCCCCCCCCTCCCCCCCGCGTGCACGCGCGCTTCCGCGGGGTCCCTACTCGCGGCGCGTTTTCTTGGAAGGGCTTTCACAAACACTGCGGCTTGAGACCTGGTGGCTGGCTTCGGCATGCTGTATTCCGTTGGGGTTCGCAGCACGCTGCACCCCTCTCATCTGCGCCACGGCGCCAACAAACAAATTGGTCTCTACACCCCAAGGCGCCCCACCAGGCCGCGGCGCGGCCTGGCGCGGCGCGGCGCGGCGGCCGCGAGGGGCCGCCACCTCGCCGGCCGTCGGTCTTGCAGACGCGGCTGCTGCGCGCGCCGCCGCCTGGGTGCCCCCTTTTCTTGCTCCTGCTGACAGGCGCTGCACGCCTCGCCGGCGCAGATCGGGCGGCCTTTTCTGCTGCCTGGAACTGCGGGGGTCCTCTCTGTCGTTGTGCTGCCTCGCTCGAGCCTGGAGCGATCCTTTTGATTGGGGCACCCGCGGCCGCTTGGGACGGCGCGAGCCCGCAACCGCTTGGCGCTCGGGCGCCCCTGCCAGCCGCTCGGCCCCGCCCCGCCCGCTGGTCTCTCTGCATTGTGCTGCTCCCGCTCGGCCCCAGGGCCCCTGCGCTGCGGCCCGCCGCGCGCCAGCGCACGTGCCGTGCCCTTGTATTGAGATACACCCCCCCTGGCTTGACTGTCCGTGTCAGGGGGACGAATGCGAGTATTGGAATGGCGCGAGCGCGCGTGGGCTTGGCGCCATGGGTGGCGCGGTGGCCCCGCGTCGCGCCTGGCCCCCCGCGTGCTCGCGTGCTTGCGCTGGGTTCCGCCCGCTGTGCGTTTCCTGGGTCGGGCTCTCTTCAACGCTGCACCTCAAACCCTGATGGCTGGCTTCCGCAATCTGCATTCTGCATTCTGGTGGGGCCCGCAGTACGCTGCGCCCCTTGCATCTCCGCCACGACGCCGAAAAATTGGTCCCGAGACCCCAAGATCGGGGCACTGCCCTCTGCATGCGCGTGGGTTTAAATTCCTTCCCCCCTCCTGCACGCACACCCCCCCTCCCCCCGCGACACACGCACACATGTACACACACACACACACACACACACACACACACACACAC